ATAATCTGGACAGGATGGAATAAAAATCTTAACATTCTAAACTATTTTTAGAATTTAGAATATATTGCCGTTGTAACATGCACAATGAAACTGTGGGTTTTCCCACAATGCATCATGTTATAAAAGATAGATACAATTAAAATAAAAAATAAAATGAAAAACAAATAATGTATAGAGTTTAGCTGTAAAGTGTCAAGCTGTCAGTCAGTTTTTTGGGGGGTGGGGTTGGTAGATGGGTGCACGCATACGGAATGCTCCAGTAGGTGTTGAAGGGTGATTGTCTTTCAGTTTGTTGTGTCTTGCCTGGTTAAGATGACTGATGGCTTTGGGGTAGAAGCCACTTCTCAGTCTGGGAGTCCAGGACTCAGTCGTCCTGTAGCATATCTAACCAGTCATTAGCTTATGTGCAGATCGCTCTCTTTTCCTGTAAATACTGTTAATGGTTATTTTGGTGTGTGGTCTCTTTTATGTTATTCTGTGCGGTCAAGTTAATGTTGACTCCATGTAGATGGCATTTCTCCAGAACGTTCTGTCTTCTATAGAGGTTTTTTTTTTGCTTCCCAAAGGGTTATGTGATGATTGAGTCCAATGATCTAATCACTGATTATTCTCTTATTTACCTTCAACTTATCCAGCCATTTTGGTCTTGTGGGTTATCTTCTAACATTACCAAAATAAAATCATTTTAGTCCAGTCATTTGTACTAAAGATGAAAGTTCAGATTGGAACAAGAATCCACTGGATTGTTTACCTTGTGGTGCAGGGTATTCAAAGTAACTGCCAGTATTAAAGTTCAAAGATGTCAGTATTCTCCTTGTCCTGCTTCTTTATTAATCATTAAATTCATAGTCACAAAATGTCATATTTTGAATGACTTTGATTTCTGTGTTCTTAGAGATGCATCATTACTTGGTTAATAAGTTGCTAAGACCTTTATCTCATCTCTGATATTTGTGATAATTTACAATATATATCTCCTGAATCCTTTTCTTTTCAGGGATCATTCTAGGGAATTTTAAATTGTGGGGCAAAACAGAGGCCATAATTCATACAGTGGGTCCAATCTTATCATCAGCCAATGATATGTTTTTACTCAGTGAGTGACAGGGGAGGGGACACCCCGGGGGCCAATCAGGCTTCAGCTAGGTCCAGTGTCCCCATGACTCTGCCCCTGTCTATGTCCCTGTTTGTTATGGATTATTAATCCAAGGAGGCCAAAGTTGTCTATTAAGCCAATGTATTTGGCACCAAAGCTCTAAAGGTGGCTGCTATTTCTGGGGTCGTAAGCTTTGTTTCCTACACATTTAACCATAGTGCCGTCTTGTCAGTCGGAGAACTTTCCTCATACAGTAAGTGTCGTTACATTTTTTTCATTCTTTGCTGTAAGTGTGCATTCCATTTGGTTCTGCTTCGTCTTTGTTCCATTCACATTTACATTTATGAGGCCTTTGTCCAAGGAGATGTTCGAAGGTGACTCAAAGCTGGAACTTCTTTTTAATTTCACGTATTTTCTGAAAACAGGACATTTGCATGTTTATTTTCTTTCAGCTACTATTAATGAATATTATATAATGTTATATAACATGATGTATAATAGTCATTGTCTTTTGGTAGCTTTCTGGAATTTGCAGATCAATACTCTTAAGAAAATGATGTCTTTCTGGATTTTGACATCTGTAATTTCAGTTTCCGCTGTATTAACCGGTTTCATTATTTTTCCACTCATTTTGACCAGTTTCTTTCCCGGTTCTGTGCGTATGACTTCTCTGAATTCTGTTGAATCTAACCCTGGCGCTGTATCAAGGAGGGCCAGCATTTCCAATGGCTTTCTGATCTTTTCCATGAAGGCACCAGATAAATTCTCTAACTCGTTTCTTGGAAGTCAGTTGGCCTTGCTGTTCCTTTTCAGATTCACTTTGACTCTTGCACATAAATAGCTTCAGGCCATGTCTTTCATGTTTCAATTGAGCGTTTTCATTTTTCGTCACTGAGAATATAGTCAGCTGATGTCTGTGAACTCCATCAAGTGATGTCAAAGTGTAAAAATGGTGCTTTGATAGCATGAAGAATATATCAGCAATGATGTGTTTGTTGGACTCACAGAAGCTGATTAGTCACACTGCCGTTTTGTGTTTGGCCAACTCTAATTCCCACTTCTCATTTCCGAATTTGGCTGTCCACTGTCTCATCACCAGCAATACATCTTGTTTACATATTCTCTCTGTAGTCATAAAACCCTTTTCTTCTTTGAACCACATCAGGTGAAGAGTGGCATTCCAGTATAACTGTACTCGTGCAAATGGCACATAATAAAGGATAATTTAATTTCATTTTCAGCTGTTTGGATATGAGCCTGTACATTATAACTTCTATGTTGAAGAGATGTCCAGAAAATCAGATCGATACTAGTTTGTCATTGATGGAAGAGTATCCAGTTACAATCTTTCTGGTATGTTTCCTGACTATGAAAGCATTTTTCATTGTCTATTTCCCAAATAGTATATGGCCCATTTACCTGACTGAGAGCGTCCCGATCTGGTTCATTTAAGTTCGCCGATGCCTAAGATGTCGAGCTATAAATAATCCATTTTTATCTTTTCCACATCCAGCTTTCCTCGGCGGGTGCTCCGTATATTTTATGCTCCCACAGCAATCCCATTTTTGCAGCTTTAGATTTCCTTTTCCGGTATGGAAATGTCGGCGGTTGGACATTCAATAGGCTTTCATCCAACCACATCATAAACTTCGACATACTTCACGTACCACCAAGAATGCTTGGCCCTTCCTCAGCAACATGTCCAGTGGTCCCTCTCCCGGCACTATCTCCCTGCTCATGCTCATGTCCGGCTCTAATGTTTTCCTGGTAAGGTTTTCCATACCATCCACCACACAGTTCAAAATAGTGTCTGTTATTTGACCCATTTCACCTTGCTGAAGCTGAACTCTGCAGGCAAAATAGCTTCGCTGACACTGTTATGAGCAAATGTGCAAGATATCAGTGCACGGATAATCCTTGTGCATTTAATTTGTGTGATCTGAAGTAACACCGTTTAGCATGCACATGAAACACAATCAACAATAAGAAATTTTCAAGGCTGTTAACAGTTTATTAATTGTCATAATCATTAATTATTTATTTTTCTTATGTGAATGGATAATTTACAAACTGAACCGTTTTCCTTACATTCTTGTCTCACTTTAATAGTTAAAGAATTCTGATATAAATATCATATGCAGAGTTACGACTATAATTTCAGTCGAGTCACTGCTACTCCGCTCTGCAGCCGGCTGTTAATAATGCATGTTGACACATCATCAGTCACAGAATCCCGTCAGGTCATTTGAAGGCTTTCCCTTCTAAACCTCCTTCTGGTCCTGTCCCCCCCCAATGAACTTTGACTGTTTTCTCTCTAGCAGGAGTGGGCTTGCACCCTCACCCATTTCAGTCCCATCTACTTTCTCCCCGTGATTAATTTTCAGTCAGCGGGAGGGACACAGAGGGGTGTATGTGTTGGATGGGGGGGGGGCATGACGTACCATGCAGCTGCACCAACGCGGGGGACACGCCCTGGGGGGTGCGCCTGAGTGCCTTTTGAGTCAATGATCTGACTTCTCCTGTGACGCGCTGGAACGGCAGCTTGCGAAGACACACATGGCTCCGCAGACATATAACCCTGCTCCCTTGTGCGTTGGGTGATTCATACAGCATGTCCCTGCATATCACCTTGGCTCAGAACGCAGCTCATTTCACTGTTTTTTATTCAGGCTGGGCTGAGGTCACTTTCACCAAATCACTCTGATACAGTAGCACTGAACAGTATTATAGTCACCCAAACAGGTTTATGTATTTCTCATAAAGCAGTGCTATTCAATATCATGCATGCTTACTTTAGTTTATACTGCCAATCGCTTAATCATATACATTTATTTAGATATAATGAATTTCCTGCCAGGACCAATGAAATATATCCTATCTCTTTTGATGTCTGGTGGCTCAGCAGGTTAGGATGCTGTGCTGTGATTGGACGGTTGCTGGTAGCTGATAGGCCAACTTCACTGCTGGGCCCTTGAGCAAGGCTGTGTTTTTTTTTAAATGTTAATCTAAAGTTTCTCCAGGGACTGCCTGGCCCTGCTTTTTAAAAATGTATGTTACTTTGGATAAAAGCATTTGCCAAACAAATAATGAAATTTAAGTATCTAATAATGTAGTTATTGTGTCCTGTCTTGAAGAGCAGCTTAATAAATAGTCTGCTTTCACCCAGTGCATCTAACGCTTCGTTATCCTCCTTTGCTTTCAAAGTCGAATATTTTGTTCTGTTCTTGTGTCTGGTGCAGTTTTCTTGCTGTTGTACATCATCACACCGGGGGCTGCAGAGGATGCATTTTGTTATTCAGCATGCAAGGCTGGGCAGGTTTTTTTTGTAGGCCCCAAAATATCATTGCGAGTTAGCATCACATGACACAAAGGGTGTCGGGTGAGAAAGGGTAAGTTGGGAATGTGTTTGGGGTATGGTTTTAGGCCGTAAAAAGAACCCGGAGCTCGGCTGTGGAGGCTGTTTCAGGATGCCTGCGCATCTGGATCAGTACTTCCCATTCCGGTCCACGGGGACCCACAGATAGTCCACATTTTTGCTCCCTCCAGGAGCAATAATGTGGACAGTCAGGCAGGGGGTTGGGAGGGAGCAAAAACGTGGACCGTCCAGCGGTCCCTGAGGACCGGGTTGGGAAACACTGCTGTAAATACCTTCAATTCTGATCTAGTCAGTAGAGGATAAAGCCAGCTGACTGCAGGACAGCTACGCCTTTACATCCGTTTCGAGTTGATGTCACCTCCCATAAGTTATGCAGCCCAGCTGCAGAAGGTTATGATCTAAGTGGAAGATGTTCGTATTGCAGCCCTATGCTGCCCGCGTATAATCTGACCTCGCACGTGCTGTAAGTGTGTGGGTCTACATTTCGAATATCACGCAGAAAGGCAGACAGAGACATCCGGAAAAACATTTCCATTCATACAAAATGTGTTTATTTCTCAGCTTCCATTTCTGTTCTGAACATAAATCAAGTGAAATGTGTCATGCTCTTAGAATCCAAAGTTAGTTCTGGAATGTAAAAACAAGAACAGGCATTTCTGCAGGTTAAAATGTTTGCGATTCTCATCATTTCCGGTCATGTATCCAAAAATGTTCACAATCTTAGATCGCTGGGTTTAAAATAGCATGCGAGTGGGCTTTGAACTTTGTTGGACATATTCTCCTAAGAATTATCTTGTCGATTTAAAACATCTCAGAGTATGCACTTTTTTGAACTTAAGAATCTCAATATCACACAACCAAGGCAAATGAAATTAAGTTAAGCAAATACTGACTAGGAGGTTTCACAATATAATATAAATGAGTCTTTTAACATATGTAGAAATAGAGAAATCAAAAGTGTATGTATGTGTTGCAATGCTTCATTTAATCAAGCCAAAGCAGACCTGCCTCAGAAAAGATTAACATTTAAAAGTTTTGATCAAAGACATGCATTCACATAAATGGAATGAATCCTGGGAACTTCAGTGCAGGGTGATTTTAAAGTCGTTTTGGTAACTGAATTCCTGATATAAGGGAAAGGATGACACATTAAATCATTAAATTGCCAAGAAGAAAACGTATCTAGTGAAAAATGTCCATCGGAAATATTTAGTTAGTATCTGGGCTAACTTTCTTGTTTTTAAGATAAACTATTTATGGGTTAAAGTATATTTACACTGTTACATTCCCTTCTCAAACCAATGGAACTAGAAAAAAAGTCATTTTCTCTCACTTATAAAAACTGCACACTATGAAAAAATCAGTCGAACATTCTTTTAGCCTTTACTGGGATGTGGATCACGTCAGGAGAAACTTAGTCTAGCACACAGGGCCAGAGAGATGGTACAATAACAAAGCTTGGATATATACTGTATAGTTTTAGTGACAATTCACAAATAAAATATTAAAGCTTTGTTGAGTGTGTTCAGAAACAGCTCACTCTTCTCTCATTTTTTCTACATCTGTATGGCCAGAGGGACATACAGATGTTCAGTAGTTAGTCATAAAAAAACACTACAACACCAATCAAAAAAAAAATACTGAAATTGCAAATACAGTTACACAGAAAACATTTAAATGATTAATACTGACAAAAAAGGCTTGATTACTAACAGAGGCCAAAGGTCTCCCAGGCTGGTCATGTGCCTTTTGGAGTCTCAGCAGTGGCTGATGAATTTTCTGCTGACCAATGACAGATCACCTTACTGTGCGGGAGACTTAGTACACCTTGAAATCCTATTGGCTGATTTTGCAGTAATGAAAGGTAGATTTACTGTTGCTTCAGATGTGAGAAAGTTAGCAACAGAAGGAGGTCGCGTCTTCCCCTTCCTGACCAGTTCCTCTTGCTGACATCCCTTGTCACTACGTTGTCATTCAGTTTTATAACAGAGATATTTCAATACTATCTAAACATACATATGTACATAGCAGAGAAACAAAGAGCTTGATTCATTTATCTTGCAAAAGTATCAACAGCTCCGTACGGGTTTAGAAAATGGCCAGTCATAGGGGCTGATTTATGACTGAGTCTGACCCTAAAAATTGCAGATGGCCTGTTTTTAATCTGCAGTGGCAGTTCTTTGCAAACACACTGATAAGCACAAGGTCCCCTCAGGTGTCGAATGGCACAGAGGTTTGATGAGCGTGACCCTATTTCGGTATCGACTTCCGGGAGGTCTCACAATTCAACTTACTAGATGGTTCCAGTACTTTTAGGTCCGTGAGTATCCTTGGGGAGGGCAGTCAGGGGAGGTTTCTTCACATTTTGTATGGCAAGATCATCATCATTATCATCATCCATTTTTACTATCTTCACCATTACTTTTAAGGACTGGGGAGTTTTCATCTTGATTATTTGGTGAGACATTATGGGGAATGGAAAATATCTCTGTTATTTTCCAGTGCCCACAAACCAGGTCAAGTACGTCTGAGTAAGGGTGGGGGGTGGGGGGTGATCTGGTGCTATGGCCAAACGTGGGGGGGCTCACAGCTCTGTGTCAGCCACGGCACTCTTTGCCGCAGAGTGACCGTTGGTGGTGGCGGGGGCTGGCTGGTTCTTGCCCCCATCTGGGGACTCCCCGTTGACGGTGGGCTTCTCCAGGGCCTCTGACGGGTTGAGGGGCGTCACCGATACTGATTGGCACTCATTGTCCTCGTGTGTCTGACAGGGCTCCTCAGCCTGTTGAGGAAAAAGCGACTGATTTGGTGATCTGTGGCTCGACATCCTAAGCATTCCATCAGCGTTTACGTTTTTATTGTGTGGCGACGTTGTCATTCCTTGTTTTTTTTCTGCACTTGTCCTGTCTATCTCTGCACTTCATGTAGCACAACAGCCCGGGGAACGTTATTTCGTGTCACTTTATGCAGTGTACTGAATATGGTTGGTATGACAATAGTCCCACTTGACTTGACATGACTTGACGTGATTCTCTGCCTCATTTGTCTTCAGTGACTGATGCCATGGTTTGGGATTCAGGAGTCTCTGAGGCAACGGGCCTTCTTAACAGCATTTTAGTCACTGCATGCTTTTCAGTAAATGCACCCCAGCATCCTGTTCAATGTGATGTAGGGCTCAAGTCCTGCATGGATCCTTCCCATGACCAAGGTCAACTTGGTGTGGACTACAATGCTTATCTGCTGTACTGAAGGCTCTGACTAGACACAGCTACTTAAAGGGCTTTGCCAATGACATCATCAACGGTACACTTAAACAGCAGCAGAGCTTGGGAAACAAAAAATAATCTGGTTCCACGAGTTTATTTTTGAAGGACCTATTTAACAATATCTGTGCTGGCATCAGAACTGCTTCTCTCTTGTTTGTATTCACACTTGTGATAGACCATATATTAAAGAAGTTCAAAGCATTCTGTATAGTGCCTTAGACTCCTCCCACTAGCCAGACCCTGGCCCCGCCCCCGAGCCAGCTCCCAGAAGTGTTTACGCAGAGCTCACCAGTCTCTTTCCCTTGGCTCTGCCCATCCAGCGACCCTTCAGGCAGTAGCCGGCGATGAGCAGGGCGGCCAGTAGAAGGCCAACCAGCAGCAGGGACACCAGCACTGTGGGTGAAGTCTTTCCCCAGAGGGCCTTGGCCTGCCCCAGATTCAGCTGTGCAAGGCGGGACACAGGGGGAAAGATGGGGGGGTGAGTTCAGTCAAGCTGACGGCTGAGTGAGGCTTCATATTTTCACTTCTCCAGTCTTCAAGGTCAAGCAATGCCGCACAGAGACATGGCTGAATACCCCCCCCAAATCAAAGCTACCATTATCCACACTTACCCACTCATGCCCCCCCCCCCCCTCCCAGTATCTAGGCCCTTGAAAGTCTTCTCCTTTCTCCCCTCTTATGGGCGGCCCCAAGGTCAGAGTAGCCACATGTAATTGGCTCTGTTTATGTTAATGCAAGGTAACTGTATGGTTCCTCTCAACAGTGTAGCTGGGCAGAATAGCTTACAGTACTTACATCGATATTCATATGGACGATACGCTAATTTAAGAATGTCAGTGTCACATTTGTGTACAGGTCACACCCTGGTTTATTGTGGTCGGCAGTGGGGTCTTTAGCATAGTGGAAAAACTGCTGTGAAGTGTCCCCCTAAGAGATAGTTTGAGATTCAGCAGGATATTTATGCTAACAGTTCTCAGGTTCTTTCCCCGGATATTGTAGGACCCTGTTAGCCACAGCTACAGACAATGTACCATACGGGCAGGGTATGTGTTACGGGGTAGGTAGGGGATTGATGCCCCAGGTGTTATGTATTATAATGCATATACCAGTATTTTGGGCTTCCTGGGTTCCTGTAGTTATTGTTGTTGGCACTGGGGTTTGTGGGTAAGTGAGTCCGGAGAAGAACCACATGAGTGATACTATACATCTGCTCTTTTTCTCCAGTGAAACAATGCTCATGTGATACATAATTCTCTGCCTCTGTCTTGCTTCATTTGGTGTCCTATTAGACTGTAGACTATGTTAATGATTATTGAAAGTCCTCCACCAAGAGGCCTACATGATACCACAAGAGCCCTTTAAAGCAGAGCTAAGATGACTTTTGAGAAGGTTATGTTCATGCGGTTACATCAGGAAGGACTGCTGCCCAGGGTGGTGGCTAGGTCAGATGGTCGCCGCCCTGGTGGGGCTGGGGTGTTACCCGCTTATTTGACAACAGATGCAATGTGTCTGAAAGTGTGGATGTGAGGGACACAAAGCGATCAGCTGGGACTGTACGTAACATCGATGAGAGTCATCGAAAGGAACTGTCTCCCTGTTAGTGTTTCACATATCTGTCATTTCAAAAACATGCATACCTGATTTTTAACGTTTTCAGAACTGAATTTCTCAGCCATGCCTACTGGATCAGCTGTAGAGAAAAAGGAAAACTGCTGAAAAAAACTGTCCGTAAACTATTCCAAAAAATGCAGATGCACCATGTGATGTGTACTCTCTCGCAGTATTTTTAAGGTAAAAACCAGCATAACAACACACAACAAAATGAACAAACAGATATTCGATAGCTATGTACAGTATATACATGAAAAAAAGGTCATTAAAGGACTGGCAGAATCATACACACCTTCGACGTGTTTGCCTCCGACAAAAACTATCGTATCTTCCTGGAATATATTAAATTTGCAGCTGTTGCACAGTTCTGCTCCGATTTTGTTGAGTATGTCTTTAAGTTCGTCCTGCAGAATTGAAGATGGAGAACCTGTTATGGTCCAAAGACCAAGTTTTGCACTGTGCTATTTGGTACATCACTGAGCACGAGTGTGTAGATTTGGGTGTCAAGTTAGGGACCATGTCCTCACCAGTATTGTGGGAGTAGCGTGCATGTTTTTAGGGGGGCTGGGGGTTTGGGCCGATTTGGTACCACCAATCCTGATACGAAATCTACGCACTTGACTGTGCAGCATGTGGCCTGGATAAAGCGGACCGTACAGAATGTTCTTTTGGACCTCCTTTGTAAGCACAGATGACTTTACAGGGCTGTCGGGAGCCTTGGCCATTGATCTGGATGTTTTTATGGGCCTTTTGGGGTGCGGCTCTGAGCATTTGTTGGGACGGCACCTCGAGGGCGGGTCTCTGTAAGCGGCCATTGTGCGTCACAGCGCCACACGGACCGGGATACCCCACCCCACCCCCGGCCCACCATAAGAAAAATTAACAAAACATCCCCGTAGAAAAAATACCACCCCCATAAACTGTTCTGTTTAGTTTCACTCACGTTAATGTAAATGTATCGACTATATCAGGAGTACTCAACTGGCGGACTTCGGTTCACATCTGGTCACAATTTCATCTGGACTTTGCGATCAAAATGTCACCTTGGGAACCCCAATTATATAATTTTACAATTTCACGTATTCAGAGGTCCTTGTAAAGTTCTGCCAGGGTATCCCTGACTCTACAGCCCCCCTGCCCCCACCATCCTTTTACAATTTGACACTGGGTACGTCAACTAAGAAAAGTGCTTCATCGTGAATGATTTTTCCACCTTTCCTATTCTGTGGATACGTCTTCTGTAATTTATCTTCACAGACCTGTAGGAGGGAGTCAGCACTGATCCCTCTGATGTCTGCGAGATGTGCCGATAACCCAAGAAACCTTCACCCCATATTGGCAAACGCTCTTATGTGGTGACCAAAACAAGAACAAAGAACGCTAGCCTCGTCACTCCGCTCGACACGCCTGGTGAGCTTTTGGGACCGCGGTTGACAGACTGGGTGTCAGGCCGGGGACCACAAATTCCTAGATGACAGCACATGGGTGTGCATTTCGGGACAAGGGAGATGATGTCATGTATCCGGCATGCCGTATAGCCCCGCAGAAGCTGCGTGCACCATGTGTAACACACACGCGGAGTGAATGACCACTTAACAGATTGATGAATGGAGTAAGATCCTTGGGATGGGAGAACCGACCAATCGCACAACCCCAGCCTGTGAGGCAACTTTGAAAGGTTTAATCATTTCAATAATCATCGCTTAATTACTTCGTATATCCAAGTATGATCACAACTTGGCTTGATGTATTTTGGTAATTATCGTATTACACTTAAGGATTTGGAAGAGGACTAAAGCTTGACTTGAAGATGAAGAAGTATGATGTTATTGTATGTGAGGCAGCCACATATACACAGGCAGAGACTCATAAACACACGAAACACATCAAACCCTCTGCAGCCTGTATGTCTGCCTGTGTTCGTCTGTGTATGTTTGCATTTGTATGCATCTGTCTATGTATGTCTGCAGGTGTCTGTGTCAATCTGAATTTGTTCACATCTTCCAGCACATACCTGCAAGTGTCTATATATATATATATATATCTGCAAGTGTTTGTTTATGTCTGCCTGTGTCTGTATCTGCATATGTCTGTATGTTTGTCTGTGCCATTTCTTGGGGCTGGGTAGATGGATTTGTCACTGTGTCTCTCTGTGTGTTTTGTTTGCGTACACCAGCAGAGGTCTTTGTTTCTGCATATCTCTATGCACATCTGCCTGTCTGCGTCTGCATGGCTGTGTGTGGACAGGCATTACTGCGTTTACATGGTAGCAATTTTCTAGAAAAGGTGTTTTTAAGTATTTGCATGTGGGGAGCTGCTTTGGGGGGGGGGGGGGTTAAATTAATCATTGCAAAGAGCCCCAGCCGCCACACCCTCTCTCCCACCTCCAGTAATGATGTCACCATATTGCACAACGGCTTGGGAACAATCCGCTCTCTGTAATGCGACCAGCCGATGGCGGCCGTCCCCAGTGGCCGCTGCATGCAAACACTGCGTCCCCAGTTTTCCAGGCAGCGGCTGCCTTTTCGCGCTCTGCGCAGAGGAAGCAGTGTCTATGGAGTCACCCCCCCACCCCCCGTGTGTGTTCTGCATGCTGATGGATATCCTGTCCCCTGACACCACGTGTCCGTGTTTCTCCAGCTCGCAGGACTTGCCTCTGACCTTGTTTTATCTCTGGATATGCGCTCATGGATACATGACCACTGCTGTAATCCTTTCCTTCCCTTCCCTTTTTGTCATATCCTGCTATATTCCTTTTCCTTTCCTGTCCTTTCCCTTCAAAGGAAAGTAATAAACTCTCCTACAATACATTCCTTCTCATTTTTGTTTTTTTATCGCATCACCTGTGATTTCAGCCGGCTGTCTATAATGCAATAACGATAATATCAGCTATAATGCGATAACGATAACATCAGCCATAGGCATTTTTTCAGAAGTCATACAGTATGATGCTGCTGTTTTTTTATTTTTGTTTCTTATTCTTGGGGTAGTAGAATGGGGGGGTGGGGGGTGAGAGGGCATTTTTACAGGCCATTGTACATTCCTGTGTTTTTCTCATAGCCCTTTTCCATTCCTCAGGCATGTTCTCCTCTTATGGGAATGACTCTGCCGCTACCGCCACTCTGGTGACGACTTTGCATTTCTCTCCAGGCTGCTGGCTCCCACTATGGGCTCATGCGGCGTGTGTTTTCCTTCTGACTGTGCTGCCTCTGCGTAGGGGCAGGCGGGGTAACGAGCCTCGCCCTGGCTAGACGGCTAACGCTGAGTGCCATAGCGGCGCTAAGACCACTGGCACCTCGCCCGCGATTCTCTGTCCTCGCGCCATGGTGGCCCAGGATGCCAGGCTGCGCCAAGACCTCGACGGCACCTCCCTTTTCCGATGGAACCAGGGCTATAGCCGTCGCACGTGGGTTCATGGGGGTTTCATTTGGGTACGGCGGGGACCCAAAGGGGTGTCATGGTATGGACTCCCTATTGATTGGTCAATACATATATTCTCTTTTTTTAACCGAAGGTCAAGAGGACTGGGAAACACAAGGTTACTCACGCAGGTTTTCGTGCTGTTTAAAGTCAGCATCACCACGCTCTGGTCTTTCATGGCGTCCTTGTCCATGCATCTGTGCTCGTCCTGCAGCTAGAGACACAGAGCACATGTAGCTCCTTCAATGTCGCACAAGAACGATCTTACCTGCCATGACTGACTCTAGGATTTTTTTAAGAAGGGCCAGCCTTACGATTAACCAATGCCATGTTTTAAATCATTGAGTGACAGGCGAGTGGGCCAATCAGCTTTCAGCTGGGGCCAGTGCCCCTCTGACCCCACCCCTCTATGCACCCCAGTCTGTAAGTAACCAGCTGGAGTTGAGGCGCTCTTACCACAGGTTCACTCTGCTTTGGATTCTTTTGCACTGTCATATTTGTCTGATTGATTATGAAGTCCTTGCTCCTTTCTGCAGCCTGTGTGCTTGTAGCTTTCTCCATGTCGGTGCCTGTGCTGCCTGCCGGCTCCGCAGAAAGCACAACGGTGCTCCCCACTTTCAGGGTCGATGTGCCCGGTTTGGTGGCACTAGGCATTGTGCTTATGGCTGGGTCGGGTAAGACTGTTGTCTCTGAAGGGGCAACATCAAGTGGTCATTGACTGAATTACTCCAGCAGCAGAAAAGAGACTTTATGGAGCCCTGTGGCAAATTGTCTTTTCCCCGGAGATGAATAGAAGTGAGAACAATTCCTGGGGATTTCAGCAGAGGGTCAGTCAGTATGCCAAGCTCCTGGAGCCCAATGCATCTGTCTGCCAGCCCTGGGATTTGAACCGGTAACCTTCTGATCATGAGTACAGTGTCCTAACCCACTTAACCATTCACCACCCACCCAATTAGCTAGATGCTAAGAGTAATATATTAACATATATATATATATACTACCAGTCTAAAGTTTGGACACTCCAAGCTGCCTACAAAGCAGAATGAAAGAGTGTAGCGTTGCATGACCTGGCCACCTGACATAAACACAGTACAGATGATTTTGGAGGAGAGTGAAGGAAAAGCGACCAGTGAGAGCTCAGGATACTGTATATGTGGGACCTCCTTCAGCACGGCTGGAAAAGCATCTCAGGAGGCCACCTCATGGAACTGGCTTAGAGGAGACAGTAGGGGCAGCCAGTCCCTGGAGTAATTGGGGTTAAGGGCCTTGCTCAAGGTCCCAAAGATGGGAACCAGGGATTTGAACTGGCAACCATCTGAGTTCCAACCCACAGATATGCCCCCTCGCCAACAGTTTTTTTTTCTTTAATACTTTTTTGGTCAGTGCTTAATTCCACATGTCATTTTATAGTTATAGTTCTGATGTCTTTCTAATTATACTAAATCTAGAGAATAGTACAAATAAACTTTTCTATGGGTAGGCATGTCCAAACTTTTGACTGGTACTAAATATATACACTTAAACCCAGTTTAAGTATTCATTGAACTCTCACCCATTTATTCATTTGTGTTGGGTGCGTATAGTATTGTGCAAAAGTCTTCAGCAGCCAATGGAAATTATGTTTAAATTATGCTTTTGTTGGTGTAAAACTATAATTGTATGTCTGTTGAAGTGTCTCCCCAGTACTTGCTGTTGCTATCCAATAAATTGATATTTTTAACTCAACTGCTAACAGACCTTGTTTTGGTAAGCAATACCTCAGAAAGTTAATTCATTAATTATATTTTAATTGTATTACTGTTTATTTGTATATATTCTGATGTTTATTCTGATGTTAAACTGTGTATTTTTCCCTGAGTAACTACACACTAACTGCTCAGATACACAGCTTTAGACGTTTCCTCGGGCAGCCTGAGGTATTTGCACAGCGCAGGACATACATGTGTATGTAACTCCCACGCTCTGGTTTTTTGTTGCTATCCTTACTTGCGACAGTGGGAGACACAAAGGAGCCAGGTGGTGTCGCAGACGCAGGTAACGCTGAAACATGTGTGCTGCCCAGGGGAGCAGAAGGTGTCGGTGTGGAGGTATCACCGATAACTCCATCTGTAGGGGAAACAAATGAAACGAATGAAACAGGAGGTTTCAAGAATGCCTCTAGATCAGTATTTCACACCTGTAACAGGTATTCGACGTTTTTGATTGTTTGGTTGAAGAGTACTAGGAGCTGAGAGGGAGCAAAAATGTGGACTGTCTGAGAGGAAGCAAAAATGTGGACTGTCTGAGAGGAAGCAAAAATGTGGACTGTCTGAGAGGAAGCAAAAATGTGGACTGTCTGGGGGTTGAGAAACACTGATGTAGAGCATATGAAGCCTCTTTGGTTCAATGGTGACGCCATCTTGTTTGAACCTGGTGGACTGCTTAACATCCCATCGCGGTGACACCATGTGGCTGGCTGACATCAGTGACCCATTTGCTACCCATAATCCCCTGCTGTTAATTTAACCCAGCTTGCACACTGTCATTAAGAAGCTGACCCTTGGGTCTCCTTCCTCCAAACTGGAGCTAGGGCACATTACAAAAAGCATCCGTTACATTCTGCCCGCCTGGGATGAGTGTGCCGGCACCAGGCTTGTGTCCTAGTGAAAGGACATCTGCTACCATGTTAGTGTGGGCTCGCTCCATGGCCTTCAAATTGCACACTTTTGGGTGCCAGTTGCACCCAGATTTTCACGTGTCACGTGTTTGGTGTCCGGCGCCAATGGCAGCAGTGGTCCAGATCGATATCCAGGCATGCGGGACATGCCAGGTCACATTCTGCACCGCATGCTGTTCACAGGCTGGTGATTATTACACCTGTATAGCAGCCCGTCCGGACACCCCCCCCCCCCCCCCCGCCCGCACTGCAGAACTGTCACCGGCTTACTGCGGTGACAAATTTATGACTGATAATTGCGGATCACGCTTGTTAGTATGGAGGTAGAGGGGTCCTCAGGCGTGGGCTAATTGGTTGGGATTTTCAGCATTTCGATGCCGTTTGATTAGCTATGACTGGAGTGAGGGGGTGCAATCCTGGACCATGCTGTACAGCCATGGGCTTGGCTCTATCTGCGACCGAGCATGACTGTTTGCTGAAGAATTGTGGGTAATTAAATGCCTCAGTGTGGAATAAGGGCGTCCTTAGGCTTAAGTAAATAAACGTAGATAAACATCAGCGTGCCATTGCCGACCCCTTGGTGCCCCCAAGTGCCCTTTGGGGGGGCTTCCTTTCTAAAATAAGAATGTTTTTTTAGTCCACCCATGTGTTCCTGTAGAAGGAGTATTAGTTTCTTTCTAGAGTTACAGGAAATGCCAGATTATGCTTTTGTGTGTCCCTCAAATTGCCCGTGGTTTGTTGTCCTGTAGAAATAAGCGGAGCTGTTTTAATAACTTTTGAAGGGGTGGATAAGTCAGTTTGGCGTTATACTATTCAGAAGAACTGAGTTATTGGGCTCAGTAAATGATTTTTTTGAGTTATAGAGTACGGCAGACCACCACTGCTGTGCCAACCTCCCGATCTGTGTGTGCACATAATTCCGAAGTTTATCGCTTCCTGATTTTGCATTTATTCCTGTCCTGGGATCGGGAATGCAGAGGAGTGTTCTCTCGGGGAGGTCTGAGGTCAGCACCGCACTTCCTAAGGGCTGTGCCTTTTTACGCGTGTGGCACAAGGCTGACTCTCACGCCACACTTTTCAGGCATAGCGGAGGGCAGCTCGGAGAAGGCCCCAGGGAAGGCCGCGCCACAGCAAAGGGGCTTGTGGGAACGCCAATCCCTTGAGGAGATTTTTAGTCAGGTAGGTAGCATGTCATGTAGTTACTGTGTAAATATAGTATGTTGTGTATACAATGGGTACATATTAGGGTGACCACCTAATCCATGTCTAGGGGGACGCTGTGAGCCAGGACAGGGTTTGTAAACTACCATCTCAATTAAAAGGAACCGTATTTCACTTAAGCACTGAGTTCTTACTGTGTACTGATTGGTCAGTCTCCTATAATTATGCATGAGTCACTAATGTCAATGTGAAACAGCTGGATCAGTCTTTCAATCAAGGAAACAAACCAGTAAAAGCACAAGAACTGAACAATTTTTCCAATCACAGTACCTTTTGGTTTTAAAGTAGTTTGTAATCTAATCAGTAATCTAATTAGGGAGTTGGAACAAAAATCCACATACATTCTGGCCCTTTGCAGACTTGATTGCCCCTGCCCTAGTACATGTTAGTATGTGAAGTACAGTGTTTAGTAAATGTGTAAATGCAGCCCCACGGGGCTCGTAGAGGTGATGCAGTTGCTTCCCGGATGTATATTGATGGGCTGACAAGAAAGACCTCCTGAATCTTGCAGAGTACTGGGGGGGGGGGGGGGCATTTAAAATCATTTGCCTAAAGTCGTGCTGGAACTAATGGCTGCCCACTTTTCCCAGCGTGACGGCCATTACTCTGGGACGCGTAAACGAAATGGCTGTTTGTGCCAGGGCGCGTGTTGTGATGGTCTGAGTCAGACGTAAATCTAATTAGCCCGGTAGCTAACTGCTATCCATTGTGGGCGGGGGGGGGGGGGGGGTTACGTGGTTATTAAAGCAATAATGACAAACAAGAATGTACAGCTCGTCTACAAGTCCTGGGAAAAGAGCCTTGCTTTGCATGGCCTGCCATCTCTCTCTCTCTCTCTCTCTCTCTCTCACACACACACACACAGGATTTTCCCTCCTCTTAGGTATTTATACATTACTGCAGGCCTCATTAAGAAATACCCCTCTAGATTCCCCCTGAGAAGACAGTCGTGGGCTTGTTTCACCAGCAGCGGTCTAGGGGAGCAAAAATGAACGATTTGTAGCTGAATCCTTTTGGACCCGGCTGTGACCTCCATCAACAGATGCAGTCATATTAATAATCGTCCCACGACTGCAAGAAACCAGTGCCATAAAAACGCAGGCAGCGACTCAGACCGCCATCTGCCCCGTGCCAGGATGACAGTGGCCTTGTGCGTATGACTGCTGTTGGAGCGGCGACCCCCGGATTAATTGCCAACCGGCCCCCTGTTTTTCCATTGCCTCCCCCATCCCCCTGCTTGTCTGTCTGAGGTATAACATCCTAACTGCCAACAGAGTCATAATAAAGGAGGCTTGTTAACAATGTAGCCTTGTGCCCAAGGAAAGTTCTTATGGAGAAGCGCGGGAAGGAGTCCGGACCTTTTAGCTAAACTGCAGCAGAGAAAATACTGTTAATCTCCGGCATGGATGGGGGACTGGATCTCAGCCCCTCTGGGTGTGTGTATGGTCTGTGTGTTCTCCCCATATGATCCAGGCTCCTTCCCAAGTCCAAAAACATGCAGTTAGAAAAACTGGCACCTCCAAATTGCCCGCATCGTGTGGTTGGCTGTGTGAGCGCATGTGTCCTGTGATGCACTGTCACCCCATTGAGTGTGTCTGCCTCGCAGACTGTGCATTCTGGGATAGGCTCCAGTCTCGGTGTCACCCTGACCAGGATCAGTGGTTAAGGAAGATGGATTGATGGATGAAGTACTGTTGGTTACTTCTGCTGACTGACCCAAAAGTAAACTGGCACAGTAAGGATACTCCAAATGTCCATATGAGGCTCCTGTGTGGCAAAGGCTGTCTCTGTATGGCTTCTGGCAGGCAGAGGATGCCAAAAAACAAAGGAGCAGGCCATGGGTTTTGGCCAAAGCTGTACTGGGGCACAGCAGATGCACAGGATTGTCCGCTGCCACCCAGCATGGTGTGACTTGTAGCTAGCGGTTACGCTGCGGAACAGCAATGGGAAATGCCAGAGGTCTGTGAGCGGCGTGCTGGGAATGACCCTGCGATTCCTCACGGATAGCCACCACGGCCTCAGAAGCATTGCAGGCAGTTTGAAGTTGCCGGACAGCATGTGTGACCGAGCGGTATTTAGGGATCAGCTTGGCACATCTACATGCAATGTAGGGGGAGATTATGGCATCCATTTCGCCTGTCGGAAGGCTAACATATTAGGTATCCCCATGTCTGTGAATAGACAACTCTGACACCCAGAAATATGGCATGGTGTAGTCGGGCCAATTGATGCGCTTGTCGTAAGCTTGAGGGTTACAAAATAGAGGGGCAATCTCAATAAAAAATCAATGAGGTTTGCACAATTGGCACATTAAAAACATCTGTCTGAAGACTCAGAGTGTCAATAGGCAGAAAGCAGCAGGCGTCCTTTTGTTTTATTGGTGCTGTTACCATAGCAATCTGGGTTTCCATAGCAGATCCGATGTTGTGGGCTCCTGGGACAAGTCCTGGACCAGGGCCTCCCAAGCCGGTGTAGAAGGTGAGGGAGGTAGGGCTTGGCTAACGTCCGCGTGAAACACTGTTTCCCCCGGGCCCCGTCTCTCAGTTCTGTCTCTGGCCCTCCTGAAACACCACCCCTGGTTTACAGAAAAGGTACCGCACCCGTCAGACCCGCTAGAGGTAGAGAAGCATGCGTCCCTCCATCCAGCATCAGAGAGCCAGTTTCCACGGTGACGTAACAGCGCTATTGGGAAGTATTATCTCACTGGACGCCGCGAGAGCCTGGGTAGGCTGGCTGCCAGACTGGTTACCGAGTTTATTGTTTTGTGTCGCAGCTTTGTCGAGTGAGGTATACTGGTTTGTGTGACCTCGTTACAGCTCCAGGCCAGTCCAGTCACCCATCAGAATCTTTAGAATCAAAAGCCAGAATCAGAATCTGAATTTGAATCAGAATAAAGAGACGATAAGTAAATATAAGATTCGTGATAAATACTGGCGTTTGTGCAAATTAAATTGCAATGTGCAATTATAATGTGTAAACCGGTTGTCAGGGGTCTGTGCCGACGTACAAGTAAATATTTCAGTGGTGCAAATGTTGCATTGTAATTTAATTACAAGCAGGAGGAACTGTTGAGAAGTCTGACAGCACTGGGGAAGAGTTTGCCCAATGTTCTTTGCATGAAGAGTACGTATTCTGGACTACATGTAAAACACAGTCTCATGAGCACCACTTGTTCTCATTAAGCAAATGCTTTTAAAAAATGAGATCACTTATCTGCAAAAAGACTAAT